ACTCTACTTAGAATGCAAAAAATATCAATCCCAAAACAAGGTCATCGTTAATTGTGGAAAAATGATCAATTGAGTCTAATGAAGCTACTTAGAAAGCAAGTCTAGTGGACCCACGTATATGTGTGTATATATATATATATATTATGGCCAGGGCATTAAGGATGGCAATTTTCTCCGCGACACGCGAAGCTTTGCGGAGATACCCGCCATAAGGATGGAGATTCTCAGGATATTCCTATCGTGGGGCGGGGATGGAGGCAGTTTTTTACTCGTGAAATTTTGCAGGGAATTTTCTCCACCTCGTGGGGAACTGTGGGGATCCATATAAAATAAAAAAAAATATAAATTTGTTTTTATTTATATTTTTGTACATATATTAGCAATTAATTTTTACTTGTCCAATTTAATTAGTTAATCCAATACCAACATAACTTAAATTTCACAACCCATTCTTTTATCAATTTTTTCAAACTCAATTCTCAGTCCAACCCAATTTTTTTTTGTGAATCTAATAATCCTAAACCTAATTGCCCAGCCTCAATTTACAGCCCAATTTACAGGCTCGATTTACATATAATCCTAGCATGAGGACATTTCACTCAGTCTCTCTTTTACTTGCCGCTTCTTGCAATTGCAAATTGCGAATTTGGGAATTGGGATTCCTCATTCCTCTCTCAGTTGGCATCGGTCTCTCCTCTCCGGTCAGTCTTTGAGTCTCCTCTCCTCTAGTCCTCTGCCACACTCTTGCTCAAACTCTGCTCTCATCTCCACAGACCTTCACATTGATTCACTTCAGCTCTCAACCTCGCCGTCACTACAACCCCTGGCCCCTGCTGCCCTGCAACGCTCGTCGCTCACCTCCAGCTGAGCTCCAAGGCTGCCGTTGGGTCATCTCAGCCCGCCTCTCACCGTGGCACCGTGTCGTCAGCCCATCACTGCAAGTCAGCAATGCTCCTCGCTCACCACCGCTCACCTCCAGCTTGTTTTAAAAAAGTGATCTTGATCATCTTTGTTTGCTATATAGGATTCTGTAAAATTGCTATTTTCTTTTGGAATTTTGATTAACAAGCAATGAAATAGGTGATAGTTTTATTTGGTGGGGACTCTGAATACCTACGGGGACCTATTATTCCCCGCGGGGATGGGGATAGAGACAATTTTTGACTCTCCGCTAAAATTTCCCGCAGGAATCCCCGTACCCGCCATTGACGGGGATGGGGATGGAGATGGGAAGGGGGCCCCCGCTCCCGTGGGACCTGTTGCCATCCCTACAGGGCATACCGTGTTAGAAAATTAATCCCAAAGCGAGGTCATCGTCAACTGTGGAAAAATGATTGATATATTGAGTCCAATACTCTACTTAGAATGCAAAAAATATCAATCCCAAAACAAGGTCATCGTTAATTGTGGAAAAATGATCAATTGAGTCTAATGAAGCTACTTAGAAA